AAAAAAGTCGATCAAATGTCCTCCGGGAGCTTCCTCGAGTGGAAGCCCTTCTATCGGTAGTGGCGTGCCAGAGAAATTGCGGGGCTGCGCCTTTACCTTTCTTCTTTAGCTTTTTGTGTTCATATTGCAGCGTCTGTCGAACGCAGACTACACTCCTCCCTGGTGTTTGCAAGCAAAGAACCAGCCGACGAAGACACTCAACATATGCGACTCAAACGCGACGCTTCAAGTAAGGCCCAGAACGAGCTAATACATTATCAAATAAAATCACGTATTGTAAAGTTATTTCACAAAAAAATAAATATATTTATCGCGGGACATTTAATTATTCAACATCAACTTCAAACAGTGAAGATCTATTTCACGGAGCTCTTCAAATCTATGACCTTTTTGTCCTCCGATCAATCCTGACTGACAGCTGTCAAAACTGACACCGTTCGTGTGCCTCACGTGAGACGCTTGCTGCGCGCCACCCCTTCTCCCCCCCCCCACACCCACGAGCCGTAGGGGAGGGGTTACCCACTTCCTATTTTAATGCATTTTTTTGGTGTTTAATCTGTAGAGACATTACGCAAACTGCAAAGAGATTTACATGTTTTCTTGCCAACGACAACTAAAATCCCCAACAATGAACCTCGCCGCAGACTGAAATCCCGATCTCCTTTCAGGGATCGCGCTGTCACCATCCTAGAATCTCATCCAGATCTGGTAGAACGCTGGTGAACGGTGTGGAACAATGCAGATGTCCAGAACAACAACAACAAAAAAACCCCACGTAATTCCAGACCCCCAAACATCGCACTTCCTGGCTCTGACATGCCTCAACCACATTGGTGTAACTATCGTACGCATTAAACATCAACAGACCGATGCACTCTCCTTCATGTATGCAACATTAAACACACAAGCCACAGTAGTGCGATTGCGGCCGGGCAACTCAAACTATGGACCAAATTGTAAACCACTGTAGTCCGCACCCCTTAAATGGAGGAGGAATAGCAAAACTACACGAACTCTCTCCTAAGGCCCTCTCGTGACTAGAAGACCTCAACATTGACATTTTGCTTCTGAAGATGTTGCTGCCATATGCAAGAATATAATATAATTTTAATGCAGCATTGCGAGTCTGTATCTCCTCCCTAAGGTTTCACCTTAGCAGTATGGAGCGATTCTCTAGAAAAATCCCTCAACTCCTTTATCCATGTAGAGAGGGTCCCACAGGGATTGTGTTTCGTTTCGCTATGATGGAGAGAGAAAAAAAAATCACTTCCTGAAGATAGTTTTTTTAAATTATATTTTCTCATCATTTATCAGCCTACCATGTAACAAAAATAATCTGTTTTTGAAAGCTATGTAAATTGTATTACACGTTTAGACACCATAAATATTGTCAAAACTATAATAGTAATCAATTTCAACAAAATGAAAGACCCAAGGGTCATCTGTAGACTTGGTGGCGTTTAAAAGATGACTAAGCCTACAAATAGAGTCGACACAACATTGGGGGCCTGAGCAAATACAATAGAACAAATCTCATTGTATAAATGTGACCGAGTCAGTGGGAGATCTAATCTTGGGTTAACTCAGGACAGCTAGCTAGTAGGGGCATTGGAAATAACATTGAACAGTTTATTTGCTGAAGGAAGTTGAGGAATGTGGGTCCTTACACCCAGTGAATTATTAACCTGATCAGACGAGTTCTGTGAGAGTGTGAAGCACAAATAATAATAATTAAAATAACTCAACAAGTCCATCACGAACACTGCTATAGGAAGAAAACATATAATACGTGATATCATAGGATAGAGATCAAAAAGAGCTGTGAATTGGTCGCAAGTGGAGAAGTATGTTCTTTCATCTCAGTTTATTTTGTGTAAGCAGGTGATAACTCGAGACCCAGGGTGTGTCTCATTTGCAAGTGATCTGGGTCATCAAAACCACAGCAGCAAAACAAATCAACAATGAAGTAAAGCAATGAGGAAAACAGAAATCGGAACAAAAAAACTGTCATGTGAGAAACCAAAGCTATTCCACAAAATAATTAAACGTTGATTCATACATTTCCTAGAGCGTAAAACGGCTGAGTAATTAAGTAAACTGAACTATTTTTTGTTACGAGATAATGCCCACTGAGCTACATAGCTCTTTTTCAGAAGTAACCTGGCCACATATGATAGCTCAACAAAGTGGAATATCATGTGCAAATGCAGCCAAATAGTCTAAATGCATGTTTCTAAATGTGGAGGGAAAAACCGGAGGACCCGGAGAAAATCCATGACCTCCTGTATATCGGGCGACGTAGTTAACATCTCGCCACCGTGGCGCCCACCATAGAGCGATCACAGAACCATTACAAAATGAAGTTAAAGAAACATTCAACAGATATAGGGTTACTATTGTACTAAGGTGAGCAGTTGATGGCATGACAATCGAAAAAAATTCGTGCCTAAGTGGACGACGGCCGTAGAGAGATGGAGTGATGAGATCAATCAATGAATCGGGTCTTTATTTCTATAGCACTATTTTCGTGCAAAAGATGCAATGCAAAGTGCTGTACAGATAGAAGAAAACATTGTCAAAAGACTAAATCGCAAGAACAATAAAAGCTATTTCCATACAAAACAAAATTGCATTATAATACATTTATATCAAAGGCATACAAAAAATTATGCTATAAAATAATATTAAATAAAAGCAAGTTTAAAACGGTAAGTTTTTAGATGAAACTTAAAATTACTTAACGATTGCGAAGCCCTCAGATCAATTCGTGTGTAGGTTCGAGATGGCCAGCTCTCAACTGTGAGGAATGGTTTGATCGTGGGATGGAAGGCTGTCATCCAGCAGTGGATAGAGCACGGCTGATGATGATATTGATGGATGATGATGGTGTTTAGCAGTAAAATCATAAATGGTCTTTAAAACTAATTGTATTAAAACCTCACCGAGTTTTGTAGTGGAGAATGATTAGATTATACATAAATTACCTTCCAATCTGCATCTTCACATAAAAATGTATATTCACCAGCAGCGTTTATATAAACTTGCAAACCCTAAACTGCTTTCATACCGAGGCTGATTAGTCAAGAATGCAAAACACACACTGGTGGAATAAGTCTGGGGGCCAAAACGCTTATAGACTCAAACATATTATTTGTATGTGGAGATAATCAATAAAACGGGAATTATTTAATGACTTAACAAAATTCCATACACTCCACCTGATTGCCAGGGAAATATTTTCAACACTAATATGCCTATGAGCAAATCATCCGAAATGCCTCCAACTTGCAATGGAAGCAAGTTGGAGGCATTGGACGACCACGATTCAGATAATATTGGTGTAATTTCATCCCAGTGCTTTCTTAATTAATTCCCTGGGAAAAGGCAGACACTGTCCCTTGAAGGACAATCATTAGCTGATGCTAAAACAAACAAACAAAAACGGTTTCAGCTTCTAATCGGCCTGAAGAAAATAAATGCTAAGTGGTAGCCAGCGTAGGAATGCGCAGCAACATCCTTCACAGGACTGTACTTCTATGCTCCCACGTTTGTGAGACCTACCTTTACCAACCCACACTGACCAGAGGTGAAGTATGATGAAATAACCGCCACTAACCCACATGGCATGGGGAGGCCTTCATCCAGCAGTGGATTGATAAAAGGGCTGTAGTGTATATTAACGTAATTATTTAACAATGTGAAATGCATTTTGGAGACTACAAAATGATGCTCAATTAATACGTCATTTCAGTTTTGTTCAAAAGTGTGATTTTGATGTAAAACGCATTCAAAAGTATGCACTGCATAATTTGCCATTTTGGGATTTTCAAGCATATTTTTGCAGAGTGCAAAAGATTGCCTCGTACTCGGAGCAGAGGTTGTACTAATCCAAACCAGCCCTCACACACAGATGAGGGTACCTGGAAATTACACTGTAGTATTAACCCAGTGCTTTATTAATTCATACTTAGGGAAAGGGAGACACTGCCCCTTGAGGGAAATCATTAGCGGACACTAAAATTCAGGGAATGTGCAGGACAGAGAGAATGAAAAAAATGGGTCAGAACTTCAGCTACTCATTGGCCTGAAGAAAATAACAACTTTTTTCCACGTCTCTTTTACTTAATTTCTAGGACAGTGAAGATGCCACAATCAATTTGTTCATTTTTGCTTGGAAAACAAAGCGAGTGTAAAATTAGAATAGCCTGAATACAATTTGAGCAGAAATAAAGAAGACTTCAAGTACACAGCTAAGGCTCTATGTAATCAGCATTCCAGTGTATCAATACGATAATGTACTAAACAATTATAATAATTTGTACAATGGATGTGACTTCTGGAGAGAAAACGTATACATCATTGTGCACCAACAATTAGGAGAGGTTATGCATTGTTAATAAATAATCAGTGATCTTTATCCGGATTGTCAATTCATGATGATACAGGGAAACGCAAGTGTGAATTTCACGTTTTCAGGTAATATAAAGAGAATGTCTGTGGTGCATATGGTCAATGACATTGGGCAATTACGAGAGACTGTTGAAATAAAAAGAACAATAATCAACAATTATATTTTGTGTAATTAGCGATGTTCTTTTTACTCCAGTATAGTGCATCCCACCAGCCTCTGATCACTTCCCGTGGTGAATTTAATGAGGACAAAGACATTGCTGACTATGAGGTCACCCCACTCTAAACAGCGATATAACTGTAATTGTAATGGACAATGCAATCAAAGTGGGGGCAAGGTAAAAACAAAACGGAGTCAAACAGAACGCGAGTTCAGAATGTATTACGATTAAATCAGCAACGTGTTAGATGAACTGCTGTATCGCCAAACTGAGATATGCGTATGGCTTGGGAAGGCCTTCATCCAGCAGTGGACAGATGGCTGACCAGATGGCTGACCAGATGGCTGACAACAACGATGGCGATACGTATATACATACACGTGACGGTTCATCCGGGCGTGCGGGTGGCAGATCGCCTTTTAATCTCACCGACGAGGATCCGGGAAGGGCAGTTGAGGAAATCTGGTTGCAGTCTCTGAGCCAAATGCCGCTGGCATGTGTGGTGTAAGGACTGCAGGAAGGAGCCCTTTTCAGCTGCAGTCCCGGCCACCCACTGGTCGTGTGCGTTGTCAAAGAGAAGGTCAAACTCTGGGCAGTCCTGCGAAACAATGTTGCATATTTATATAAAACACGAACCAAACATCAAGTCGGCAAATACAGGAAGGCGTGGGAAAAAGAGGCTTGCATGGCAGTCAACGATAGAGGGTAATTTTTTTTTACATCAAAGATGAAATATAGTTTCTCAAATACTTTATTTACATTGGGCTTCTCCCCCCCCCCCCCCACTGTGATTTTTTTAACCCTTGATCTTTCATTGTTAAAGCAAATGGTAAAGAAAAGGCATTAGAACATTTAGGATATTTGAATCCATTACTGTGCACAATGCTTTGAAATTAAAGCTGGTCCATTATACTGCGTGGTAGTCTGTATTAATGTACCCTAAATGGCTGTACGTATACATTGCATGCACACATGTTTTTGTTACAAAACCCAAGCTAGACAGTATTGTATCTGCAATCCGGTTCAATTGTGGCATTTATAACATTTTTATACGAATGATATCGGAACTCTTTTGGTGGGAGAGGTGGTGCGGTAGCTCACAACCTGCGCTCTGAACCTGATCATCTGAGTTGGATTCCTGGCTGCAGCTAACTTAAGTAGCTCGGAACATCAGAACTGGTCCCGGGGCACTGTTTTAGCAACCCGCACTGGCGAGCATTGAGAAGTCTGATCGATCAACTGCCATGCCTGACATGACCTGGAGGGCCCTTGCCCCAGAAGTAGATTTGTACAAGACTATAAATATTATCCATTTGTTTTTACAACTCTTTAAGTAGAAATGTTTTTAAGATGCTTATGGTGAGATGTAAAATGCTTATGTTGACACAACATGTTTAAAGAGTCAGGACAAATATAAGATGATTATTTACAACATTGGACATCCAAATTTATTGCACCACAGTTGAATGCAGATTTGATGCCTTGTAATAGGTGTCTATTTGGGGTTTGAACATCTTAACACCTTTCTTTATACCAGAAAGGCTAAAGCCTTTTTTTATCAATCAATATCTTGATACTAGCAAAAGGGTCCCATAGATATATCCGAACGTATTTGATTATTTATTTTCTCATTAAATTAGCATGGTTTAAATGTACATATCCACATATGCTAACTGTAGAGAATAAAGTTACTATATCTTCTTCCACAGGTGAGTGAATCTATGAATAGGCTTATTGCTTGATATATTTTTTTCATGAATGGAATTCCAATTGTGCTATTGGTACCTTGTCAAGAGACAAAGCATCCGTGCAAAATCTCTCGCAGAATAGTGCAGCTCATCATGTTAAAGAGTGGCTCACATAAGTGGATACCACAGAACTACTTTTTAGATCCCAATCAAGTGACCTGTTCCAGGGATTATACACCCGCTCTGCCACTGAAAGGAATGATTTTCGCATGACAATAAAACCAATCATTTCCATTGTAAGTGCATGACTAAGTGAATTAAATATAAGAGCACTCTCTACCTCTGTGGCACATTACCAGAGATAATATTTGTTGACAGTGAATGTATCCTCAGATTGTTACAGCATTCAAGCTGCCTTAGGCCAGCACTAACTCATGATCGCGTGAGCATCAAAAAACAGTTAAATAAAGCATAATCAATGGGTTACTCATTCATTTTTGACAGGCATTATTAATAACCATTGCTTGAGGGATGCCTTGGAAAATGCCAGAGTAGATTGAGAAAACATAAGTACCTCTCATGGGATATTATACACCGAAAGGCCACTTTGGACTGTTATAAAAACATAAACCATTGGTAAGTAATGAAATGTATATTACTGTAGATGTATGTGGCATTCTTTCGACGTATGAGTTGTAAGGTGATGAAATGTTTGGAAGTAAAATAAAATTACACACTTCAAGCACATGATCTTAGTTTGACATTGAAATGAGAAATATGAATAATGTTTACAAATGTTTAAAAAAATACCAATATGTACTCGTCTATAGTATTAGCTGACTTTATGAAAATAAGCAGATCAGGTAGAGTTATGGCTACACTTAATAGAGAGGTGGTTGTATGTAAGAAGCATATTTTGTATTTTTAAACCAGGGTGGCTACAACCAGGATTTGAATCCAGGATGTCAGTGGTGTGTTATAGAAGTATGTTGAACTTCGTTTGCACCGTACGTGGCCAACCGTGCTAAACAAAGGTGCGGAGGAAGGACAACAAACTAAATACAAAAAGCAGTTCTAAAGAAAAGTGTTCAATCTAGATAAAAAAGTGGTGTTGACTGAATGCTGTGACCTCTGAGCCACCTATCAAGAGAGGGGCACCTTGATTTCTTTGGCTGGCTATCAAACAGCTCCACTTGATACAGCTAACTAAAAGGCATCCACGACTTAAATAAACATCCTCTCTTTGCCTTCTTTTTCTCTTTACACCCCCGCTCCCCCCAATATAATTTTGGATCAAGCTACCAGCACCATTATTACAAGACGGAACTCTGACAGCTAGCAGTGTACCACTCCGTGTCAAAAGCTGCTCCCAGAAAATGGTCTCACAGAACAACTTCCGAAGTCACATTACCCAACCAGGGGCACACCTTTTACATACTATCCTTTCAAAGAGTGTTTGTTGCATGTCAATCAAACAGAATTTGAATTCCAAAAGTTGGAATATGTAAATTTATGTGTGTGTGTGCGCGCATTGGGATCTACATGTGAAACGTGCCTTACAAAACTTAAATATTATTACTATGACTGCGTGTAGTCATTGGTGGCCAGGGCTGAAACCTTCAACTCACGACAATCTCTATGCTCAATACACTAGTGTCTTGAGATTCGGCTACATTGAGATGCTCAGTACCCCAGTACTGTATCTGCATTGAGATGGTTAATACACCAGTGGCTTGAGATGTGGTTGCATTAAGATGCCTAATCCTCTAATAAACTATAAACTATTTCCGTGTTGCTAAAGTTGAGGGTAAGAATCCACCCATTTTTTCGCCATATAGCATTGTGATATATAACGACTTATTGTTGGTAGCTTAGCTGATTGGAGAATATAGAGTTTATTGATAACATTAAGGTAAGTTATATTTTAGTTTTTATTGGTTCACTATTTAGTATTCATTATATATTGTATTGTATACCCAGTTACTGTGAATAGCTCAGATGTGTAGGCTTTGACTTCAACATAGCCATTTCTGTGACCAGTCACTCGCTAATCACTCAGTTATTTCAATGCTAAATTCGCCTAGTTATTTCAATGCTAAATTCTCCTGTTTGATTTGTACTAGGTGCCTCGGTGAATGTATATGCTCTGACTTTAACATAGCTATTTCTGTGACCAGTTACAAGCTAATCACTCAGCTATTTCAATGCTAAATTCTATGCTAATTCCTTTGTCAAGGGGTGCCTCTGCGGATGTGTATGCTTTAACTTAGCTATTTCAATGCTAAATTCTATGCTAATTCCTTTGTCAAGGGGTGCCTCTGCGGATGTGTATGCTTTAACTTTAACATAGCCATTTCTGTGACCAGTCACAAGCTAATCACTCAGCCATTTCAATGCTAAATTATATGCTAATTCTTTTGTCAAGGCGCTTTGTTTCTTCTCACACAGCTTAAAGGTCGTGATCTGAGCGTGGCTTTTTCACTCCAGCGCTGTCCTACCAGACAGTCTCGTCCCTTCACCTGATGAAGGCCGCTTGTGTTGTGGCCGAAACGTCGTGAGAATATTATTGTGTTATTTTATTTTATCAATTTATTATTTTATTCTCAATGTACGTGACTTTACCGAAAGAACCAAATAAGATGAAACTATAAACTAACCTATTTTTTATTTTACCAGGTAAGGCCCACTGAGCTATATAGCTCTTTTCAGAGCCACCTGCCCACAAATGATAGCTCAACGAAGTGGCTCATTACATGGACATTTATAGCAGCAAACAAAGCTCTAAACGCATGTTTCTAATGTGGAGGGAAAAACCGGAGGACCTGGAGAATAATCCAAGTGACCACGGGGAGAACATGCAAACTCAAAATATACAGGTGTCAGGGTCGGGATCAAACCCACAAACTCCTGTATACCAGGCGAGATAGTTAACATCTCGCCGCCATTGCGCCCAATGCACCAGTGTCTTGAAATGCGGCTGCATTCAGATGCTTCGATAAATCGAGATTGTATCATAACGTAACTACACAGCTGTGGCAGGCGCGTGTGAACAAAGTATGTTCAACATTTGTATTATTATTTATTTCACTTTACCAGGTAAGGGCCCACTGGGCTGTAATAGCTCTTTTTTCAGAAGCAACCCGGCCACATATGATAGCTCAACGAAGTGGATCATCACGTGGAAGTGTGCAGCGGCTGAAGACTCTCAACGCACGTTTCTAAAACCTTACCCGGATGCCGTCCACGCCGTTGACCTGTCGCAGCTGATCGAGCGTCCACTGGGAGCGGCGCACGAAGGAGGAGACCCCCTCGAATCGCTTCACCTTTGTGATGTAGCCCTGCAACGGCTTCTTGTTGGTGACTGTGGGAATCAAGCATGGCCACTCTAAGTGTTCATCTACAGCGAGGGGAAAAAAGTATTTGATCCCCTGCTGATTTTGTACGTTTGCCCACTGACAAAAAAAATATTAGTCTATAATTTTAATGGTAGGTTTATTTTGAACAGTGAGAGACAGAATAATAACCACAATAAAATCCAGAAAAACGCATGTCAAAAATGTTATAAATTGATTTGCATTTTAATGAGGGAAATGAGTATTTGACCCCCTCTAATGAGAAAGATTTCTGGCTCCCAGGTGTCTTTTATACAGGTAACGAGCTGAGATGAGGAGCACACTCTTAAAGGGAGTGCTCCTAATCTCAGCTTGTTACCTGTATAAAAGACACCTGTCCACAGAAGCAATCAATCAATCAGATTCCAAACTCTCCACCATGGCCAAGACCAAAGAGCTCTCCAAGGATGTCAGGGACAAGATTGTAGACCTACACAGGCTGGAATGGGCTACAAGACCATTGCCAAGCAGCTTGGTGAGAAGGTGACAACAGTTGGTGCGATTATTCGCAAATGGACGAAACACAAAAGAACTGTCAATCTCCCTCGGCCTGGGGCTCCATGTAAGATCTCACCTCGTGGAGTTGCAATGATTATGAGAATGGTGAGGAATCAGCCCAGAACTACACGGGAGGATCTTGTCAATGATCTCAAGGCAGCTGGGACCATAGTCACCAAGAAAACAATTGGTAACACACTACGCCGTGAAGGACTGAAATCCTGCAGCGCCCGCAAGGTCCCCCTGCTCAAGAAAGCACATATGCATGCCCATCTGAAGTTTGCCAATGAACATCTGAATGATTCAGAGGACAACTGGGTGAAAGTGTTGTGGTCAGAAGAGACCAAAATGGAGCTCTTTGGCAGCAACTCAACTCGCCGTGTTTGGAGGAGGAGGAATGCTGCCTATGACCCCAAGAACTCCCATCTCCACCGTCAAACATGGAGGTGGAAACATTATGCTTTGGGGTTTTTTTTCTGCCAAGCGGACAGGACAACTTCACCGCATCAAAGGGACGATGGACGGGGCCATGTACCTCCTTCCCTCAGCCAGGGCATTGAAAATGGGTCGTGGATGGGTATTCCAGCATGACAATGACCCAAAACACACGGCCAAGGCAACAAAGGAGTGGCTCAAGAAGAAGCACATTAAGGTCCTGGAGTGGCTTAGCCAGTCTCCACACCTTAATCCCATAGAAAATCTGTGGAGGGAGCTGAAGGTTCGAGTTGCCAAACGTCAGCCTCGAAACCTTAATGACTTGGAGAAGATCTGCAAAGAGGAGTGGGACAAAATCCCTCCTGAGATGTGTGCAAACCTGGTGGCCAACTACAAGAAACGTCTGACCTCTGTGATTGCCAACAAGGGTTTTGCCACCAAGTACTAAGTCATGTTTTGCAGAGGGGTCAAATACTTATTTCCTCATTAAAATGCAAATCAATTTATAACATTTTTGACATGCGTTTTTCTGGATTTTGTTGTTGTTATTCTGTCTCTCACTGTTCAAATAAACCTACCATTAAAATTATAGACTGATAATTTCTTTGTCAGTGGGCAAACGTACAAAATCAGCAGGGGATCAAATACTTTTTTCCCTCACTGTATATCTGTGATAAAAACACTGGTGCCATCCGATCAATATTCACCACCGAGGCAAGGATATCCCCCTACCCCAAAGCTGTGCCCTTGAAGCGTAATCAGTAATTTATATGTCAATGAAATCACTGTATTGTTGTGTATTTTTTATATCCTGCTTCTCTTGTTCAGGAGCGATAGCCCACTCTTAAAGTGAATTTTAATGCAAATGTACATTTAAATGTGTGAACGTAGATCACGTTTGGAATTCAAGACTTTTTGCAAGCCACTGCCAGCCCTGCTAGGAAGACGTTACAACCAACATATATTTGTTGGTGAACAACAGAAGTAGCATTAGGAGTTGAGAAATCGAATTAACTCCACTCGCCATGGAAACAATTGTGCGTGACACGCGCGAATTCAAGTGAATATATTTGGCGTGATCAGTATCTGTGTGAAAGTGCTTCCTTCATGGCCAACACCAGAGACGATTATCTGAACTGGCATTGGACCTCCTCTAGGTCGACTCGGCCTCAATAGAGCACCTGGTGCAGTGTGTAAGCATCGCCACTAGGGAGACAAAGGCGGTCGGGCGTGGTGCTGGTCACCCACCCCTCGTGTGCCATGCCAGCCTTTATAGGTGCTCTTGCCCCAGCAGTCCGTTAAGACTATACGGGGATCTTTGTCTTACGGTATTAACGTGTTTACCATTAAATTTTGATTTAAAGCTTTCGTGACTGCAGGGATTCATATTCTTGGTTCTTTCGGTAAAGGGAAACAATACAATAATAAAAATATAAAAATTCTCACGACGTTTCAACTGCAACACAAGCAATCATCATCAGGTGTTAAAACCACAGCAAGAAAATTTGAAAAAAGATGAGCGTTTTGAATAATATTAATTAAAAAAGAGGGATTGCATTGTCATCCTCTCAGCCGACAAGGGCAATGCCACTGTCATCATGGATAAAATAGAATATAACAACAAAATTAAAGAATTACTCAACGATGACAGCTATACAAAAATAAAAAGAGATCCCACCAACAGCCTCGTCATACAAACCAACAAAATCATTTCTGATTCAACCGCATTAATTGATCAAACCAAACAGTTCTCGCTGAAACCTTCTGCTGCCAGGCGACCAAGATTATACGGCTTACCAAAAATACATAAAGTAGATACACCCCTTCGTCCAATCGTCTCTACTATCAACTCCCCCACCTACAAACTGGCTCGTTTTCTGTCTGAAATCCTGCGGCCTTTCACTGATTCTGCGGCCTTTCACAAATGCAAGAATTACTCGTTGAGTAATTCTTGAATTTTGTTGTTATATTCTATTTTATCCATGATGGCAGTGGCATTGCCCTTGTCGGCTGAGAGAATGACAATGCAATCCCTCTTTTTTAATTAATATAATTCAAAACGCTCATCTTTTTTCAAATTTTCTTGCTGTGGTTTTCACACCTGATGATGATGATTGCTTGTGTTGCAGTCGAAACGTCGTGATAATTTTATTGTTTTATATTTTCATTATTTTATTGTTTCCCTTCTACGTGACTTTACCGAAAGAACCAAGAATATGTTTACCATTGTGACGACGATATTGCACGATGAAGCTGCTTCAGCTCAATTTTTTTTTATCTTTCACCAAAAAAAGAATAATGCACGTGCAGATAATGAACCGAATGTGTCCATCTGCGCCTGAAGGATGCTATAAAAGGATTCTCATCTGGGCCGACTTGTCAAAATAGATTAGGTCATTTACTGGGGCACGTGTCGACCAAAATCCAATTTCTTCTCCTTTTTTTTTTATAGACGTAGGCACATGATGGAGAAAAAGAAATGGTATTTGTTAATGGCTGATTCTTCTGTGCGATAAATGCTCTACATTAGCTCAACTTTTAATATAGGTGTCGTAATGAATGTGACATATCTAATGGCAAATAATGGGTGTAAATTAAGTGCAAAAAAAATATTTTAGCAATAAGAGGAAATTTTTTTTTATCATGAAAACGTTTACATGCATCACACAAGTGAATTGTGACATGAGATCAAAAACACGGTTGAAAGTGTACAGCTTAACGTCACATCTAATAATAATACTTTAATTTTATATCGCGTCATTCATGGTAATAGCATCCCATAACGCTGTACATTAATTATATATAAGGCCCACAATCCCAAATAGAGCCACTACCAAGCCAATGAAAACCCTACTACAAAGCTAAATCAAAACGAATTGACAAAATAAGAAATGGCGCCAAAACAAAAACACTCACAACAAAAAATGTATTACCACAATTCGACCATCACATATGCACCCTAACCAATTAACCACCCACACCCAGCACAGCACCGTATATGTTCCACGGTGTAACTGTCATTTTCTGCAGGTGATCACAAATCCGAGCTCTTCACATGCAGCATTCTACTGTACTCTTGATCTTACAGACATTCGCTTACCTCTAACAGGAGTTTCCCATGTTTATGTCAAGTTTATCTCTATTTTTATCCAGTAACATTTTTCATGAGTGGTGTAATTTCTCAAGATGTTTTGGAAAAAAAAATCACCCTTTAGACATACTGTACCTACCTATACCCAAGTCTCTAAAGAGTTGGATAAGCTAAGTTGTGCTCTATATTTAAATAAAGCACAGACAGCCTCTTCGGATGGATTTCTTGGTAAATCTGGCTGAATACAATCAAACCTTGAAAAAGGTGATACAGTATTAAATGGCATGGCAGGACCTATATTTGATTACATCTGCCAATGTTTACCATTTTTGTCCTCTCTCCATACATCAGAATGCCACTATGAGTGACTTGTATGGGAGTAGTGCATGGGACGGAACTGTGAAATGCAATTATGTCTCGACGGTTCTGCTCACACACCAATAAGAGGTCCCAAGAGAACAATAATTCATCTTGTTAAGTCACCAGGGGCAATGGATTTGTAGGGATGCAACAACCAAATCACCCAATGAAAAACACTAGCTCTGTAAATCCAAACGCAAAGTGCCTGGAATAAAAATTCCGTCAAATAATAAAAATATAAATTAGGTTAGGCTTAATCCAGCGGAGATGCAGCAGTACTTAGTGAAAATGCACGATGAAACCAGTGACCCAAGTTCAATTCCCAGCTGTAACTAACAAAAACACAACGCCACAGATCGCCATATAGCCTGAACAGACTGTTGGGGCAAGTGCTGTTAGAGATACTCATTTAAGGCTGAGTCCACCTGGGGGAGGCCCATGACCAGTTTAGATGCTCGCCGCCGGTGTTAGCCGTGGGCAGAAATCGAACCCGGGTCGCCGGGTTCATCGCGCAGCGCGAAAACCACGACACCGCCGCTCCCAACGATCTACTCTAAAAGCGCGTTCCTAAATGTGGAGGGGAAAAAAAAACTGGAGGCCCCCGGAGAAAAATCCATGCGACCGCAGGGAGAACACGCAGACTCCAAATATACAAACAGGCGTCAGGGCCAGGATCGAACCCGCAACCTTCCGCATACCGGGCGAGGTCGTTAACAGCTCGCCACCGTGGCGGCCCATTCGGTGACAAGCTCGTGTTGCGCATGGCAGCCCGTCTTGCTCTGCCGACCCACCGAGGAAGTGCCCCCGCACTGCGCAATATCTCGCAGCAGGCGACCTGCAAGCGCTGGAATGACATTTAGTGTTGGTGGACGGACATGAAAAGTAAGTAGTGACGTCTGAAGCTAGCACTGGGCCCTCCTCTGCACGAACCTGCATTGACCAGGCTGGTGAAGTATGACCAAACAAGCAGGACGTGGCGAGGCCTTCATCTGGCAGAGGATTGAATAAAGGCTGTACGGTATTATGTTTCGCACCTCCGATTGGCAAGGTTGGCTACGTACGGTGCGAAAGAAGTTCAACATACATACATACACAATATACACATATAACAGACACATTACATTGCTCACGTATCGTACAGTATTTGTACGAGTCTGTTTATTCATGTCGAAAATTGAGAACGTTTACAATGTGAACATTTTGAATTGTGTGACAGCATGATTTGTTTCTGTCAACTGGACTGCTTTGTCACAAAAAAAGACACCAATGCAGTCGTCTTATTTTTCTTTGAATTACAATATTTCATATTATCCAGGCTAAGGCATTGCCTCTTTGGATACAGTATTTCCAAATTAACACAATTCCGAAATCAAAGCCACTATTGTGAGGTCTTACTGGCCCGTGTAACCCAACTGCGAATCATAATACAAACCATTCCTGCTCTCTTGTTACCCGAGGAGCAGATTCACTGCCTGCTCTTTGTCTGCTCAGCAATTTCCCTGGAGGAGAGAGAGAGAGAGTGTGCGATGACTACTCATCTCCCAGAAATTCTGGATTCGAGCAAACGCAAAATAGAATTTAAATTTGCCTTAATCTTGTATGTATGTATCATGTTGAACTTGTTTCACACCGTTGCGCAGACAACCATACTAATCGGCGGTGCGGGTGAAGGGCAGCAAACTAAACACAAAAAGGAGTTCTAAAGAAATGAGTTTTCAAACGATTTAAAAGTGCATGGCTCCAGTGGCTGCCTGATATCGGAATGGAAGGTTGCCGATTTGTCAATTACTCGAAGCACACTTTGCAATGCAATTTGAAATCATACTTTCTATTCTATTTTTTTTAGTGATTTGCTTACCTTTCCTATATTTTGAACTCCCATCGTTTTTTGCATTGTGCGTTGTTGTAACTTTCTGACCTGCCCCCCCCTACTGGGCATCTATGAAAAAAGAGCTTCATAGCTCATCAGATTTCTCCTGGATAAAGAGATTCGGATTCCGACTGTCATGGGAACATCTATTCCAAATGCGTCTCTTTAAAGCTTACGCAAAGCCTCAAAACAGCAAGCAAGTGCCTTACACCTTATCCCACTCCGTATTGCTATTCTGTGACTATGAACACCACGAGAGCGGCGGTATTTATAGAGACGCACTCCCACCACCTTCATTACCGCAATCATCGAATTAATGCCAAGCCAACCACTTCTTAAATTGCAAGCGATTTTGCCCCGATCAACGGTATGACTAGCTATCATTCAATCCCCTGTTTATAGTATGTGCTGAACTAACAGTTTTAAACATTCTGATGGGAATTCCCCCCCACCCCAACGTTTCATATGCTAACACCTATCGATTGTATTATTTTAAATAGAGCTTGCATCATGTGCTGAGATACATTGTAAATGGTAGAGGGGATAATTAACATCGTAATGATAAGCCAAATTACTTTTGACATATCGCTCATTAAAATTGGCAAAGAGATGTGGGAAGAGTTATAGAAATGGAGAGACAGATGAGCTGCTTAAAGAATGGATGGGGCCAAAATGAGATTCCTTACACACGAATTGCAGTAAATTATAATTGTATTAGCAATGTAGGCTAACCAAAAATATGTGTTTAAAATGTTACATTTGCGAGCGAACTTATGAGAAAAGGATTTTGAAAAATGCATAAACAAATATTAATTTGTGTCTGAATATTTTTGACCTTCCATTTACGGCCTGAGTGTGGCCTGACTGATATTTTCTCTTTGTGTTAATGCTCCCATGGCAAAGTCAATAATGGTGGTCACAGTTGATTTATTTTAAAAATAGCAGCAGTTGCCACCGGCTATTTCCATAATGGCAACAAGTGATCACGACCTGTTCTTTCTGCCTCACATCTTTATCCATCCCCGAATGTTAGCTAGAGCCAGCACCAGGGACGTGTGGTCAGGGGAGGCAGGGGAGGCAGAGCCTCACCTGTCATACTCCAATGAAAATGGCTGTTATTAAACGTAAATAAAAATAATCAAATCAAATAAATATAAAGATTTTTCCACTGATCTGTGTTATAAATGTCATTTCTGTACGATTAAAATCATTTATATAGTCAAAATCGCCAAATTTGCGGAGCTCCGCTGCAAATACAGGAAGAGACGAGAGGTGAGGCAGCGACAAGCTCAGCCTCCCCTCTGATTGCGCAACCCCTCAGTAACTGGATGGAGCACGGGCAAGAAGCGTGTGCCTGTTACTATCTCAGTATGTCACCAATGTAATGTTTGTAGACCCCTTCATTTCATGTCCTCGCCTTCCATACTCCAGGTAACTTATTTCACCTATGCGTATAAAGATATTTAGCCTCGCTGGTCTCGTCATGAAACTGCAATGAAAAAGCACCAGGGGAAGCAGCTATCACATCTGCCTCACTGAGGAGGACGTGTCTAACAATTAAATCACGACGTTTCAAAACGTCGTGATTTAATTGTTTTCTTTTATTTTAATTTATTTTACTTTACCTACGTAACTTTACCGAAACCCCCAAAGAGTATGAATCCTTGCAGTCACGAAAGCTTCAAATCTAGCTCATAAATAACCTAGACATCAATGCACATCCTTTGTTGCAGTTCCAAAACTCTTACGCATGCAGTACGCCAAATGAAAAAAGAAGTGCGTTCGTGAATACTACTGATAGTCCAAATTAATAAGATTTACAATTAAATCAAGGGCAGCATGCAATACTTTATTTTTACGGCCTAATTAAACACTCGGATCAACGAATATACACAGCGATGTTTTTTTCTTTCAGTAAGATGATTCAACGCCCTGTTCCCAAGCATGGCTAAATTTGGTGTGCAGGTTGCAACATTGTTTAAAAGATCAAAGCTTGATTTACAAAATACAGAACGAGCTCCTTCTGTGTGGTATCAGATTGTCGAGTGTTTCGCCCTACATGCCGAGGAGCAAAATGTCAACATCGCACCGTACAAACCGAGCACACGATCGGAGAGAGCTACACCACAGCACAACCGCGAATACCTATGGCGCAGTGCTACGGAAGAAGTTCATCCGGTCAGTGTCTATGCCACTGGAATGACTATGCAGCCGAAGGAAAGCCGTTCCTGTGAGGCCTAGAGCATGGAAGCTAGTATGGGCATCACCTCCAGCAGGTGGAAATGGTGATAAAGTGCCCAATATTCACGCTACACAGGCCACTGCTGCCCCCATACATCTACGGCACTCGTGAGCCCTTTCCCAAAGGGTTGCAACTGGTTCGGGGCCATTTGTTAGCATTACAGATAGCACTCTACCCATATATCGTCTGTTTCATCTCAGAAAGCATGGCCCAGACATCAATCACACGTTCAAGGGATCGTGTTTCTAGCATAAATAAATAAACTAACATGATTTAGAATACAAAACACTATTTGGTCTTGCATCTGTCTTTTGGTGTTTCACCTTTTGTGTTTGGAAGTTCACAATGCTTGACTTTGTGTTGCATCATTCCTGCTTTGTACCGAGACTATAATTATAGAATGTGTGTAAAAACAAAACATCGAATCGGTTAGTGAACAGCACTAGCAGCCTGTAGTATTATCACCATCAGCAGCCTTGGTCAATACACTGTTGGATGAAGGTCTCCCCAAGCCAAAGCCATCTCTCATCGATCTTGCAACGTAATAATCCACTTAAACAGCTACACAAGAGCTTAGCTACCTGTAAAATAAATTCTCGTTAAAAAAGATTACTTGTGTTCATGTTAGTTTTAGTGTAATTAAATAATTGCAGTCAAAAATCGACTTTAACCAGTCACACATACGAGTTCTAAGCGGTAGGGAGTGTGCACATTATTTTGTTATCTTTGAATACAGCTATGATTTGAAAAAAATATTATAATATTATTGCTCGCTTAAAGTACAGCTTCACAAGCAGCCCGCATGGCTTTCGGTTTTAATAATAAAAAATGAATATTAATGGGAGACAGGTTACACGTGTAATCATTGCTGTATTAGAAGGGGCAGGTCAAGTGCCAATAGTACGTATTTTTCTTGACAAAACTCCTCTTTATCCGAGAAAAAAAAGCAATATGTGACATGGTACAATGTTAACAATGACAGACTATCAACAATGACAGACGATCAACAAAGCAAGCTAATGCACCTGAGGCCAGCTGTCGCAACTCAGTTCATCACGCCGGTTAATACAAATCTCCACACGTTAATTATTGTAAATAATGACCTCTGAAAATCCATGGCACAGGACAATTAAGGTACAGCTGTTAACACAAAAGCCAAACAGCTACAAGCACCCCAATGTGCACAGGTAGAGAGCAACACTATAGTTTACACCTAATGTACCAATGAAAGCTCACCCATTACGAAAGTATGAAGATACCCCACGATATTTAGGTGTGCTCCAATAGTATATATTTTTTTCTTTTTAAAGAGCGAATTATAAAGTAGCTGTTGTTGTAAGTAAGTTGGCATTAGAGAATTAAACCAAGGAATGTAAGTTGTCTGATTTAATCTATTAAGGTAATCAGATGATTGGCTCACAAGTGATGACATCACATTTATCCCTGGCTGTCGCCTGATGAGGCTGGTTGTAATTACTGGCGAAACGTCGTACTCGAATTGTAAATGTGGTGGGTTTACTCTCCAACACACCAGTGTGCTGAACTAGTAACAAATTGGCATGTTTGTTTGCATGACAAACCTTACTAATTGGCTGTGTCGGGTGATGATTCTGCATTACTTTATCTAGACAAACATCAGAGTTAGTCGCTCATAAATAATAAATCAGGAAACTGGTATTAACTGGATTACATCCCTCTTATAAATAATGTATTAATAGGTATGCACAATATCTTTCAGCTGAAACTTAGCACTTATTATTTATTTACAAAGATTTAAAACTTTATTTTATGTCATCCTATGGAATGTAAAATTTCCAAGAAGAGGAGCAGTACTGCCTTGGTGGTTGTATGAAAATGTACACACGTTAACTTTCCAGTTGTTATTTTTGTAAAATAAAAAATACCGCACACTTAATAATGTTGCTTTTCACGTCATAGTTAACTGTTTAAATTTCGATTTAAAGCTTCCGTGACTGCAGGGATTAATCTTCTTGGTTCTTTCGGTAAAGTCACGTAGAATGGAAATAAAATAATAAAAATGAAACGTAATAATAAAAATAAAACAAAATAAAAAATAAAATAAAATTCTCACGACGTTTCAGCCACAACACAAGTAGCCTTCTTCAGGTGAAGGATCAGAACTGACGGGACGACAGCGCTTCAATGAACGCGGCTAAGATTCGCAGCGTCTTTTAAGCTAGGTGGGAGAGGTAAAGTGCCTTGACAAAGGAGTTTACATATCAAACAGGTTTGCATTAAAAGAAGTTACAGCAGCAGAGGTTAGTGCAAATGCGGCTGGTATTACCTTTAGAAAGGTGAGAGACTCGATTAGCTGAGCCTTCTTATACCGGAGTTTGTTGAAGGATCTCAAGGTTATGTGGAATCCC